TGCCCTAGTTAGAGAGGTCACCAGAGGCTTCTCTAAGGTAGGGATAGCCGAGTTCTAAGAGAAAAGAAACACTTATCAGCAAAGAAAACAGCATGTGCCAAGATCCCGGGGCAGGTGGGAGCATGGCAAATATGAGGGATAAGAAGCTGAGATAGTGAAGGTGGAAAATAGTGCAGCGGCAAGTGGGTAGATAGGCCACAAAGGTCATGAAAGGGAGTTTTGTCTTTATCCTAAGAACAATGAGGAGCCATTGGAGGTGTTTAAGTCAGGTGTGAAGTAACTGAAGATTAGCAGTTTGAAAAGATCCGCATGGCTACAGTGTGAAGAATAGACTGGAGAGGCCAGCCTAATTACAAAGTGAGAGATGATGGAAACTTTAATAGGGTAGGGACGGAAATGGAATGGACAGATTGGAAAGCTGTTTAGGAAGTAAAATGGATAAGACTTGGTTGTGAGTTGGATATAGGGAGCATAGGAGAAGGAGAGGTCAAGAGTGATTCCTGGGCTTCTTGCTTTGCACAATGGGAAAAAGAGAAGTAAAGAGTCAGATTTGAGAGATTATGAGTTTTGGTCATGTAGGGTTTGAAGTGCCTTTGAAATGTTCCAGAGAAAATGTCATAATTGGACATATGAGGCCAGAATTCAGAAGATAGATGAATGTGAATCTTCAGTGTATTGTTTAAGTGGTCACTGAAACTACCATCATCAACAAGACTGCCTACAGTGGGGATGGGAGAGAGTACAAAGAAATGCTCAGTATGGTTTCCCACATAATTTGGTTCTTCCTCTTGTGAATACATGACCTTTCTTTCCTTAAGGTAACAGAAGTTTGACTATTATCAATGTGGCCATTCTTTTTCTATAAGGGGCCTGAGTATAAATAGAGAAGGTAATGGGTTACAGGAGGCAAACATTTTTCTAGCTGTGATTTTACATTTTGCTGTGATCCAGGGCAGGGAAACAAACACTGTTTGGAAGGAATAAACATGGATTATAAAAAAGGAATCAAGTGAATTGGTCCCAAAGGGTCTGCCACCAGGGACATATGCTCCTGCTCCCCAGTGGGAGCTCATGCTCTCTGGAAACGTGCTGATGCATTATAGAGAGGACTGTCACTGCACAGATGTTCTTATAGTATTGCTTTTATGAGATGTGTTCTCAGTTTTCGGTATGTGGCTGAGATTAGCGATTTGAAAAGATCCACATGGCTGCAATGTGAAGCACAGACTGGAAGAGGCCAGGCTAGTTAGGAAGTGAGAGATGGTGGAAACGTTAATAGAGTTTTCCCCAATATATGAAACAGCCTTTTCATATATGGGGGATTTCTGTAGTCAGAGGTTTGTTACTTGTGCGGTCAGAGATTGATGAAGGATCCTCAGAGCCTGCAAGAATGTATAATCACAAAGCCATGAAGGGAGTGGTGAGCAGGGTAAGATATTCCAAAGAATCGAGACTGAGAAAGTATGTGATTGATTGGCAATGTGTGGATCAGTAATAACGTTAGCAATGCCTTTTCAGTGGCACCAGGTTGCAGGAGTACCCAGTGGTTGAAGAAACAACCAGCTGTTCTCCACACTGTAGCCATGCAGTGGCTTAGGCCAACTCCAAGTAGGGATCTAGACCAGCAGCAGCAGCAGCAGAAATGCAGAATCTAGGCTTGCTTCTGTCTCAGACCTAACAAATCAGAACCTGCATTTAAATAAGATCACTCAGGATTCTTAAGCACATGGAAGTTTGAGAAGCACTAGTCCGAATCAGTCTTCAAGAAGTTTGGCAGTGGTAGGTAAGAGACAAAATCCAGATAAGAGGGAGATATTAGAAATGGAAATGGAAGAAAGAGAAGAGCCCAAGAAGAAAAGGCTGGAATCAAAAGAACTAATTAACCTGGGGAAAAAGGTGTGTTCCTTTGTTGAGGAAAATGGAAAAGAAGAATGGAAGAGGAAGTGTGAAACCAAAGGCAGCTAACTGAGAAAACTTGGTGGTCGGATGGCCAACTTCTCTCCAGTAAAATTGTTGGTAAGGTCAACCACTGAAGAGAAGGAGAAACAGAGGTTTTAGCCCAAACAACACTCCATTGTTCAGAAACTCCTTTAACTTATAGGGGTCTAGTTTAAATGACATTTACTTCTGGTTAACATGTCTTTGTATGTTTTTCCTGTTATCTCCTTTAAACAGATATGTATCAATGTATAAAAATTATTAAATACCTTAACAATTTATAATAAAACTTTTGCAGCTGTACAGGTAGTTTGATGAGGCTAAGTTGAGCCATGAATTTCACTAGGGCCAGCATTATATAGCTTGCTGACATTATTAAGTCAAATAAATATCATGGCTGCAAAAATGTATAAAACTTGAAGAACAAAAAAAAGTTTAATCTTTACCTACAGTTTTTAAGTCTGTAAAGTTTGCTAAATCAATACAATGATCTGAAAAGTTCATCTCAAAGTCAGATATATTAGTGATTTACTTCATTGGTTTTCTGATGACCATTTATCATGAGATATACAATCTTCAGTATGAAAGAGGGAAATAAAACACTTGAATCCTTGACTCTTACATAAACTAAATATCTGATTTATAAGACACAAATGAACAAACTTCTAAGGCCTGTCATATTTTCTCAGTTTCTAATTTATTCAACCTCTGCTCAATATTGATCCTGACAAGCAGAGTAGCCCAAAGATAAATTTATTCATTCCACAGTTGAGTCAAGAACAAGCCAAAAATTATAGATTTTCCCAGGCAGATGATGACAGGCAGTCAAAGGGATGACAAATGGCTGTCTTTAGATTTATTAAGAATGGTTGGTCCAGACATTTCCGATAAAAATTGGAGTATGCTGGTCAAATACAGGTTCATCAGTGGTCATCATTAATGGTAGAGAGAACATTGCTGCACTGCAGACGCCTATACAGGAGCTTAGGCATCAGCCCTGCAGGGGAAATAGAATTTGCTCCTCAGTATTTTGCAGCACTCCACTAAGTGATAGCATGACATGATCATTTATCAAACAGAGACTGTCCAGAAAAGTGTCTGCTTCCTTTAGTAACTTATTGAAGAACAGGAAAGTGAAAGCTTTTTATTAAAGACAGGAAGGCAATGAACAACCAGAGCGTATCCAAAGGGTAATCGTATTTCAGCACAGGATTAGTTTAGTCTTAAATAAACATACACTGGAGGGAGTATGTCGAGGGTCATTTATCAAGTAAGGAACAATTAACAAAACTCTAAGCACTCTTTTTATCTACATCAATTTAAAGTTCTCTAATTGTCCTTATTAACTTTTAGATGCCGGGCATCACATTCGACACTGTAAAAAAATGTGATACACAATCCCTTCTTTACAGGTTTTTAGAGTAAGAGAAATACAATGTAACTCTCACATAAAATAAGATAGCTATGGCTGTATTAAACACTACCAAACAAATGGTGTTGGAGAAGGCATATTCCAGAGTCCGGAACTGAAGGCTGAAGTTACAATTTATAAAGATAACTTTCTCATAAAAAGTAAACTACTTATTTGTCAATAGGTCAAGAAGCTTCTTCTTCCTTACTTAAAATGTTTTCCCTCTCTGTTGACAAAAATTAAGCGAAAGGGAATTAGTTAAGAGATAGGAGGGCAGGCAAACAGGCAGAGAACTGACACATTTATTACTTGCTTTGTTCCAGGCACTTTATATGCCATGGCAACTAATCTTAATTAACCTCGTGTTATAGATGAAGACATACATTTGCCTAAGGTCACACAGTCAGCAGTGGTGCCAGGAAGTTTAGGATTGCCATATATTTTTAAAAATAATGTCATATTTTCACATAAATTATTTATTTGAATCCCTCAAAGTCTAGCACAGACTGAATTCAGGGCATATATCCAAGGAAGTGAAATTACTTTTTTAAAAGCCTCATCTGCACTCCCGTGTTCTTTGCAGCAATATTCACAATAGCCAAGACATGGAAACAACCTAAATGCACTACTTTTGTTGAGTAATTCATTACAGATTAAATGTATCTGATTTTAAAAATAAAGAACAGAACTTTGAGCACATATAATAAATACTCAAAGTGTACTTCACTTTCATTAAGTAGTAGTTAAAATATATCTTTTAGAAACAAGGGAAGGGGAGAAAGCAAGAAATGACAGACAAGGTACTGGGCAAAGGGTGACATTGGATGGGAAAAGAAACCCAAATAGGAACAAAAGGCTATGAAAAGAGCAAACTGAGACAGTTCGTTAAGTGCCGTTAATCTGTTTTCCTCACATTTATTTGGGTTATAGACCATGGAATAACTTATTATTCCTTGAAATATCAATGAGCTGTTTTTCTTCTTGTAAGCTATAAAAACATGCAAATATTTATGATGTAATGTAAAACTAAATTGTACTCACAGTACAATTATGACAATTAAAAATATGTGCCCTCCCAAAAGTCCCTATGCTAAAAATTAGAAGGATATATAGCAACATATTAAAAGTGATCTTTGCATAGTATGCATACAAATGATTTTTCCCCCTTCTATTTTCCCCTTTGGTAAGTGTTTGTTTTTTGTTTTTTTAACACATTTAATCTGTAAAATAAAAAGCAACAATACACATTGCTTACAATCGCAAGGGACTGCTCACAATCGCAAGGGACTGCTCACTCACTACCCCTTAATTGCCTAATTTGTAAATTTCTATGAGCTACACTAAGAATAGGGCATCTTCTGCAGGAAAAAGCTTTTTCTGAGCTGCAGTGGGGACCATTTAAGGGAGTATGACAGGGAACAGTTATGTGGACCTCAACTTAGGACCTCAGTTTTTGCCTCATCTTTAGTGCCTTCTATTATCAGTATAGATTGTTTTATTCAAAATTTAGTTATTATGCCGCTTCTAAGTACGTGGCTCTGAGCTAGAACTCCACGAAAGCAGTAATTACCTTTTAAAACAGTAACTGACATGCTAGAAGTATTGGCAATTATGAAATGCTTGTGCTTTGCTTTTTCTTCTCTAATTACAGGATTTGGAGTTTTTACTGAACAAGTTGATGAAGCTGTGGAAAATTGATCTAAATGGAAATCCTGTTTGTCTCAAACCAAAATACAGGGACAGGCTGATATTGGTGTCAAAATCACTGGGTACGTAAAAAATATAATTTTTAAGAGAATGACACCTAGTTAACTTTTTGCTTATTTTACCAGCAAGCTTTCAGAAATATAAATATGACATCTGGATCTGTGAAAATTGTCAATTTTAAATTCAATATTTTGAATAAGAGCAAAAGCTAAAATTGAGAAATAAAGTATGAAAAACATCTGCTGTTCAGAAATAATGAATTAAAGCACCTGATACTTATTCCTTAAAGAGAATATTTTATTGCCAATAAAAATGGTTAGCCATAAATGTGTAGAACTTGCTGACCCTTTGCCAAACTTTTGTTGGCATAAATCCTTTGACGATCTCAAGAGACTCCTTAGCTCTTGGTTCTGTAGATAAAATTGATCAAGGTTTTCATTGCTTGATATCTGCCGAATGTTACCATAAGAACATAGAGGAAACCCTTTCATTTGATAGGGGAGCGGGCTGGGGAGACCCTTTATGAGATCCTTACAAATAAGAACATTCCTGAATATGCACTATACTGGGGGAAATGGACAAAAGTACTTTATTAATAGTAACCAAGTGACATAGCATCAAGGAGACGGGCAGTGACCTCTCATGAAGGCACTGGTTTGCTGTGTCCCTGCAATAAGTAATATGGGAGTCATTTTATGTTTTTTAGGTTATCCAGTCCTCACGAAATAGAGTGAAGACCCACATATTTGGCTTACTTAGCATGAGTATAAGCAAATTTTGTATTGAGAGCAACTTATTAAAATTAAATAAATCTCATAGGTCTATGATCTTGCATCTATTACCTGGCTCCCAATTTTGAACCATTTTCACACCTATTAGCCTCAAATAAGATCATTTGCGGCCAGACGAGGTGTCTCATGCCTGTAATCCCAGAACTTTGGGAGGCGGAGGCGGGTGAATTGCCTGAGCTCAGGAGCTCAAGACCAGTCTGGGCAACACAGTGAAACCCTGTCTCTACTAAAATACCAAAGAATGGCCGGACATGAGGGCGTGCGCCTATATCCCAGCTACTCAGGAGGCTGAGACAGGAGAATCACTTGAACTCGGTAGGCTGAGATTGCAGTGAGCCAAGATCATGCCATCGCACTCCAGACCTGGGCAACAGAGCGAGCCTCCGTCTAAAAAGTAAAAAATCATTTGCTAAAAATGAGATGGAATCAGGTTAACTGAGGCACAGTTTCCTAGTCATTCCTCAGCTCTGTTTGGGACATTAACATGAGGAAGAAGAGATTACAGCAAAAGACTTGGGCCGGGCACGGTGGCTCACGCATGTCATCCCAGCACTTTGGGAGGCCAAGGCAGGCAGATCACAAGGTCAAGAGATTGAGACCATCCTGGCCAACATGGTGAAACCCCGTCTGTACTAAAAATACAAAAATTAGCCAGGTGTGGTGGCACGCACCTAGTCCCAGCTACTCGGGAGGCTGAGGCGGAAGAATCGCCTGAACCCAGGAGGCGGAGGCTGTAGTGAGCTGAGATTGCACCATTGCACTCCAGCCTGGCAACAGAGCAAGACTCCATCTCAAAAATAAATAAATAAATAAATAAATAAAAAGTGAAAGACTTGGAATTTCCATTCCTTATCTTTATAACATATTTTTTTAAATTTGTATTTATTACATATATCCCATCCAAAAATATACTAACAAGCTATATAATTATTAATAAAATAGATCTGGAAAGACATCAATAAATATAAGTGGCTGGAAAAATTAAGCATCAAAGAATGACCTTTAGAGTACTGAGACGGGGTTTCACCATGTCAGCCAGGCTGGTCTTGAACTCCTGACCTCAAGTGATTCACTGGCCTCAGCCTCCCAAAGTGTACCCTGCCCGGCCTGACACCTCTGTTAAATAAGGGAGAAAAGGTTAGGAGGGGTGGCTAATTCTAGTGACCATGATTGTGAAAGGATTTACTTTCTATCAGAAAGGCTGTGTTTGAGCACAAACGAAAAAGCTTCACTCTTTGTTCTATCAAAAGTTTAGTTTTGCGCAGTTATTCTCCACATGAGGAAAACTACAAGTAGCCCAATTTCCACTTCAGGAAGTTGAAGACATTAACTTGACAGAAATCTAGTTACTAGGTTTGGCCTGGGAAACAGAAAGCAAGCAAGGAAGCAAGGGAAACTTTGGTTCTGCGATGCATGTGCTCTGCCTCGAAGTGGTAAATACGGCTGCACGAATTGGCTGCCTGGCCCTCCCTGCTCAAGTATTGGGAGACAGTAGTCATGGCAGCAGTCATGGCAGTGTGGCAGCAGCCATGGCTGTAGCGACGGCAGGTCGTAGGGCAGTCAGACGGTTTCAGGTTCTGGTTTAACGTTCGGCCTCCATCTCCGAGGCTGAAGTTTGCGAGGTGTAGTATTGAGTCCAATTTGAGCTATTCTCTTTTTCCTGAAAAACGACACTAAGAAGGAGCTGGATGAGCTGAAACCATGGATATAGAAGGCAGTAAAGAGGGTGCTGGGTTTCTCAGAGCCTGCAGTGGTCACAGCAGCATTGAACGGTGTGGGGTACAGCATGCACAAGAAGATAGCAGCCGATAATCTGAAACCTTTTCTTGATTATTCTACTTTCCGATTTGTGGACAAACTGAGGCTGTGGAGAAAGGCGGAAGCTCTAGGCATTCCAAGTGTAGCTGTGACAGGAGCAGAAAACGAGAGCTAAAGGAAGTGTTTGGTGATGACTCTTGAGATCAGGAGTAAAGAAGCAATGAATACCCCATTTTGAGGAGGTGGAAGAAGGGTCAGAGGTGATCCCTGGGCCTCCATCAGAGAGCCCTGGCATGCTGATTAAGCGCCAGACCAAACAGATGATGGAGGCAGCAACAAGACACATCGAGAAGAGGAAAAAACAGCTGAGCTTCATTAGCCCCTGTACATCTCAGCCAAAGACTCCTTCTTCCTCCCAACCAGAGTGACTTCCAATTGGCAACACTATTCAGCCCTCCTAGACTGCCATTTTCTCGAATGATGCCATCGAGAAGGCAAGGAAAGCAGCTGAACTACAAGCTCATATCCAAGCCCGGCTGGCACTGAAGCCAGGACTCAGTAATGCCAACACGGTGGGTCTGGCTAATCTCCATGCCATAGGCATTGCTCCCCTAAAGATGGAGTTAAAAGACCAAATTAAACCTACACCACTGATCCTAGATGAGCAAGGCACACTGTAGATGCAATAGGCAATGAGGCTGAGCTGACACACCACATCCCTACTCTGAAGGCCAATATTTGTGCTGTGAAGAGGGAACCATTGAAGCAACAGCTAAAATAAAAGCCATCAGAAGACATGGAATCCAATACCTTTTTTGACCCCTGAGTCTCCATTGCCTCTTCTCAGAGCCAGAGATGCACTTTTAAATTCCATGACAAGGGCAAATTTGTGAACACTGCTCAGCGATTAAGGACAAAGGCTCAACTGGAGAAGCTACAGGAGAGATTTCACAAGTAGCTCAAAAAACAGGCGTCTACACTTTGACTAGGCTTGCCTTCATTGCTCCTAGGAAGGAGCTAAAGGAAGGAAATATCCCTGAAATTGAGTGGTGGGACTCTTATATAATCCCCAGTGGCTTTGACCTTACAGAGGAAAATCCCAAGAGACAAGATTATTTTGGAATCACAAATCTTGTTGAACATCCAGCCCAGCTCAATCCTCCAGTCCACAATGACACACCAGTTACTCTTGGAGTGTATCTTACCAAGAAGGAACAGAAAAAAATTCGGAGACAAACAAGGACGGAAGCACAGAAGAAACTACCAGAAAAAGTCACGCTGGGCCTGATGCCCCCTCCAGAAACCAAAGTGAGAATTTCTAATTTGATGCAAGTATTAGGAACAGAAGCTGTTCAAGAAGAAGGTAGAAGCCCATTTCAGAGCTCAGATGGCAAAAAGACAGAAAATGCATGAAGAGGCCAACACTACCTGAAAACTCACAGCAAAACAGAGAAAGGTCAAGAAAATTAAAAAGTTTAAGACATTTCACAGGAGGTACACATATCTGTATATAGAGTTAGAAATTTGAGCAACCCAGCCAAGAAGTTCAAGATTGAGGCCGAAGCTGGGTAGTTGTACCTGACAGGAGTGGTAGTACTGCACAAGGATGTAACATGGTAGTAGTAGAAAGGGGTCCCAAGGCCCCCTTTAAGCATTTTATGCTGCATCGGATAAAGTGGGATGAACACACATCTTACATAAAAGGAGATGATGAGGAGGAATCTGATGAGGAAACCGTGAAGAAAACCAACAAATATGTAGTAGTCTGGGAGGGTACAGCCAAAGACTGGAGCTTTGGAGAGATGAAGTTTAAACAGTGTCCTACAGAGAACATGGCTCGTGAGCATTTCAAAAATCATGGGGCTGAACACTGCTGGGAACTTGCACTGAGCAAATCTGTATTAGAGTCCACTGATAGAGACTACTGCGAGCCCTTGCCTCTCCCCACTTGCCTTTGTCTCATCAGTCCTCTCACTTATTGTGTTTCCCAATCCACTCCCACTTGTTTGTGTGATTTCAGAACTGTGCTAAGCAGACACTGGGACAAAGGGAGAATATCTTCCTCCTTTCTCCATTCAGCCTGGTGTTGCCCTTTATTCCCCTTGTGTGCATATGATTAAAGAGTTATTTTTTTAAATAAATCAATAATTTAATAAAGAATTGCCTTTAATGTAAAGTTATAAGTACTAAGGTGTGTGACAATTTCTTATGGTTTGGAGAGTGCTATCTTGTTCAGTGAAAAAAAGTACATGAAATAAGATATGGAGACAATTTTACTTCTAGATTCTATGGTTCTAGTTTATATTTTCTGCTTCAACATTTTATTTTGTACTTTGGGTATAACACAGTATTATGGCTTATGATTAAGTGGTAGTGTTAACATTTTCAGTAGTATGACCAATATTTTATCAGAATATTGTCATTATCCCTGAAAGAATGTATGATCTAGGCTGCGCACGGCGGCTCACACCTGTACTCCAAGCACTTTGGCAAGCCAAGGCAGGCGGGTCATTTGAGGTCGGGAGTTCAAACCAGCCTGACCAACATGGAGAAACTCCATCTCTACTAAAAGTACAAAAAATTAGCTGGGCTTCATGGCGAATGCCTGTAATCCCAGCTACTCGGGAGGCTGAGGCAGGAGAATCGCTTGAACCTGGGAGACGGAGGTTGTGGTGAGCCAAGATCATGCCATTGCACTCCAGCCTGGGTAACAAAAGCAGAACTCCATCTCAAAAAAAAAAAAAGAATGTGTGATCTAATAAATTTTATTACACTCTTTCCGTATTCTGGGATCTAGTAGAAGACATTACATGAATAATGAGAGAAAATATCTAATTTTCAAAACTACTATACAAAAATTTTATTAGAAAAAAATCTATCAAGCAGAGTCCTATGGAAAGAGAAAAAAAAATTAAGAAAAAAATCATCCTTCTATTAAATGAAGGCTGTGTTCGTGTAATTAAAGAAACAATATAGGCAATATAAAATATCCTATAATAAGGGAATTGTTCAATATTTTATAAGATATTCATAAACAATAGAGGAACAGCCATTGAAAACTGTGTTTAAGGAAAGACATGGTAAAATGTTCACAACACGATATTTAAAAACAGGATGCAAAACTAATATAAATAGAGGATTCCAACTTTATATGCATATATAGAAAATAAAAACATGCTAAGAAATATACAAAAATGTTATCAGTGATTCTTTCTCATTAGGGAATAATACGTTTTTATTTTTTGTGTGTTTTCCAAATGTCTTACAACATACAAAAATTATTTGTATAATTTATGAAGCTGAATTTCTATCACACCTCTGTAATCACAGCACTTTTGGAAGCCAAAGTGAAAGGATTGCCTGAGGCCAAGAATACAGGAGCAGCCTGAGCAACATAGTGAGACCCCATCTCTACAAAAAAATGCTTTTAATTATCCAGGCATGATGGCAAATGGCTATAGTTCTAGCTACTCAGGTGGTTAAGGCAGGAGGATCACTTAAGCTGAGGATTTTGGTGTTGCAGTGAGCTAAGATCATGCCACTGCACTCCAGCCTGGGTGACAGAGTGAGATCATGTCTCAAGAATAAATAAATAAATAAACAAACAAACATAATAAGGGGTATGGCCAGACACGGTGGCTCATGCCTGAAATTCTAGCACTTTGGGAGGCTAAGGCAGGCGGATTGCTTGAGCTCAGGAGTTCCTGCCCAGCCTGGGCAACATGGCAAGACCTTATCTCCACTAAAAATACAAAGAAATAGCTGGGAATGGTTATGCACACCCGTGGTCCCAGTTACCCGGGAGACTGAGGTGTGAGGATCACTTGAGCCCCAGGGGACAGAGGTTACTGTAAGCCAAGATCACTCCATGCACTCCAGCCTGGACGACAGAGCAAGACCTTATCTCAAAAAAAAAAAAAAAAAAAAAAAAAAACAAGAAGGCGTATCGATGATAATTACAGAGCCTTCTAATGTTTTATTTAATTATATTTCCATTGTTTATAACAAGCACATATTCTTTTTGGAATCAGAAAAAAATGTAAAAATAAATAAAACCTCAACAAAAGTACATACATCATGTTTTAAGGTATTTTGAAAACAAATTTATTTCAGTCTATGATGTAACTTAAGTTTCTGTGCTCTGAACCAGAAGTGCATACTTTGACTTATGTTTATATGTATATATTATATTTTTTAAAACACATGTATATTTTTCTCCAGAATTTCTTGATGGAAAAGAAATTAAAAATATAGAAAGACAATTCCTAATGAATTGGAAAGCATCCAAAGATGCCAAGAAAATCAGCAAAAAAAGGAACTGTAAAAATGAGGATGCAAGCAACTCGTTCATAAGTAAGCACTCTGTCACTCATTAGCTGACCACTCTTATAGCAAAGGGAATATTCTAAGCAACAAAAAAATGCCAACAAATAAAATGGTTTTTGTTTAGTATTTTTTTGTTTGTTTTATGGGGTTTTTAAAAACTGATTTACTTAGTTGTATATAAAGATAAGTACAATTTGTCTTGTACTGGAAATTTTACCTATAATGTTTGTATATGAAAATGGTAGCACTCTGAACAAAAGCTGTGTGTGATTTTGTGTAAACATAGAGCCATGAGGGTGGGGAAAGAGGTATAATTTTATATCTGGCAAAAGTGCATCATATCAGCTATGTAAATTGTAAAACCTAAGCCACTAGTATATTTGTTTAGTAACAGTGCAAAAAGGCTGGATGTGGTGGCTCACGCCTGTAATCCCAGCACTTTGGGAGGCTGAGGCAGGTGGAACACCTGAGGTCAGGAGTTCAGGACCATCCTGGCCAACATGATGAAACCTCATCTCTACTAAAACACCAAAAAATTAGCCGGGCATGGTGGCAGGCACCTGTAATCCCAGCTACTCGGGAAACTGAGGCAGTAGAATTGCTTGAACACAAGAGGTGAAGGTTGCAGTGAGCCAAGATTGTGCCATTGCACTCCAGCCTAGGCAACAAGAGCAAAACTCCATCTCAAAAAAAAAAAAAAATAGTGCAAAAATCACATTTTTCATCAGGATAGAAAATAACAATGTATTGGCCAGGCACAGTGGCTCACGCCTGTAGTCCCAGCACTTTGGGAGGTCAAGAGATGGAGACCATCCTGGCCAACATGGTGAAACCCCGTCTCTACTAAAAACACAAAAATTAGCTGGGCGTGGCAGCGGGTGCCTGTAGACCCAGCTACTTGGGAGACTGAGGTAGGAGAATCGCTTGAACCCAGGAGGTGGAAGATGCAGTGAGCCAAGATCATGCCATTGCACTCCAGCCTGGTGACAGAGCAAGACTCCATCTCAAAAAAATAAAACAAAAATGAAAAAATGCATCACAACCACATCTGCAGACTGTACCCCTTCTTATGCACATACCCCAACACCTGAATGTTTTGATTATAATATAGCTAAAGTTGTGTTACAAAGGACGTACCAACGTCCTTTGCCTAACTAACTAATGTAACAAAATGTAACTAAGAGTAATGTGTAAGTTATCTTTATTTTGGAACATCTAAGAACTGACTAGTCTGGCTGGGCACAGCACTTTAATACCAACACTTTGAGAGGCTGAGGCTGGTGGACCACCTAAGGTCAGGAGCTCCAGGCCATCCTGGCCAACATGGTGAAACTCCATCTCTACAAAACATAAAAATTAGCCAGGCATGATGGCAGGTGCCTGTAATTCCAGCTACTTGGGAAGCTGAGACAGGAGAATTTCTTGAACCCAGGAGGTGGAGGTTGCAGTGAACCGAGATTCTGCCATTACACTTCAGCCTGGGAGGCAGAGCAAGACTCTCTCAAAAAAGAAACAAAAGAAAAGAAAAGAACTGACTAGTCACAGATTTTTTAGCCTATGACTTTGGAATGAGTCTCCTCTTTTCCATGATAGAGTTTGAATGCTAATGTTCTTGTTCTACAACTGATTAAGGGAGCAGATAATGACATAGTGAAGGGGCTAGGCCAGGGGAATAGGAAAAGGGAAATGGGGATGCTGTACTGAGGCTTTATGCACAGATAGCCTATCGTAGGAGCTCTGTCATTCTAGGACAAGGTGTTTGACATGAGGAGGAACATGGGTGGAGAAGCATGGAGCCCTAGTGATTTTGCCATATCATGTTCACTGAATACTATGGACCAAGTATGGTGGTTCACACCTGTAGTCCCAGCACTTTGGGAGGCTGAGGTGGGAGGATAGTTTGAGCCTAGGAGTTCAAGATCAGCTTGGGCAACACAGTGAGACCTCATCTATACAAAAACTATTTTAAAATTAGCCAGGCATGGTGGCATATGCTTGTTGTCCCAGCCACCTGGGAGACTGAGGCAGGAGGATCACTTGAGCCTGGGAGATCAAGGCTGTAGGGAGCCATGATTGTGCCACTTCACTCCAGCCGGGGCAACAGAGCAAGACCCCATCTGAAAAAAATAAAGAATATAAACTATGGAAAATTATTAGGTAGAATGGGACTTTCTTAGTTGACAATATACTCATGAGTATATTGCAATATACTGTGTTGCAATGTGAATTTCTCAAGATCTGAAACTTCTAAAATAGTCAGAAAGCATTTTTCCTCTATTCATTGCTGGCTGGCTGTGAAGGGCAGAAATAGACCTAGGGTAAGGATTCTAGTATTTGACATATTTTCAGTATTACACCAAAGATGTCACCTTTTTAATATTTAATACTAGCCCTCACCCCAGAATCGGGCCAATTCTAAAAATAATGTAGTTTCTTTCATATTAACAGATTTTGAAAATTCTTCCTAATTTAGGAGCAACTGTATTAATTGTTAATATCAATGAAATTTTACAAAGTAACACTATGTCTTTAAATTTAGAACTTTAAAAAAATTGTAGTCTACTAACCAAAGCAATCTATACAATGCAATCCCTATAAAAATTACATTCTTCACAGAAATAGAAGAAAAAAATACTAAAATGTGTATGGAACCACAAAGAACCCCAAATAACAAAGCAATCCTGAGCAAAACCAACAAAGCCAGAGGCACTGCACTACTAGACTTCAAGATATATTACAAAGCTATAGTAACCAAAATACCATGGTGTTGGTATAAAAACAGAAACATAGACCAGTAGAACAGAATAGAGAACCCAGAAACCAATCCACTTATCTATAGCCAACTAATTTTTGGCAAAGGTGCCAAGGACATACATTGGATCACAGCTCACTACAGCCTCAATCTCCCAGGTTCAAATTATCCTCATGCCTCAGCCTCCCAAGTAGCAGAGATGATGGGCATGTGCCACCATGCCCAGCTAATTTTAAAATATTATTTGTAGAGATGAGATCTCACTGTGTTGCCCAGACTAATCTTGAACTCCTAGGCTCAAGCTATCCTCCTCTTCAATAGATAGTGATTGGAAAACTGGATATTCATATGCAGAGGAATTAAACTAGATATCCAGTTCTCACTCTATGCAAAAATCAACTCAATCTGAATCAAAGACCTAAATGTAAGACCTGAAACTTATAAAACTACTAGAAGAAAACATAGAGGAAATGCTTCAGGACATTGATCTGGGAAAAGGTTTTATAATAGGACCTCAAAAGCACAAGCAATGAGAACAAAAATAAACAAATGAGATTATATCAAACTAAAAAGCTTCTGCCCAGCAAAGGAAACAAGAGTGAAAAGACAACATAAGAATGGGAAAAAATATCTGTAAAGTATTCATCTGACAGGATTATTACTCAGAATATACAAAGAAATGAAACATCTCAACAGCAAAAAAAAACAACAATCCAGTTTTTAAATGGGCAAAGGATCTGAACAGACACTTCTCAAAAGAAGACATACAAATGGACAACAAATATAAGAAAAATATGCCCAATATCACTAATTATCAGGGATGCAAATCAAAACCACAATGAGGTGCTGTCTTATCCCAGTTAAGATGGCTATTAACAAAAAGACAAAAAAATAACAACAGCTGGCCTGTTAATGGTGGCTCACACCAGTAATCCCAGCACTTTGGGAGGCTAAGGTGGGTCAGGAGTTCAAGAACAGCCTGGCCAACACAGTGAAACCTGTCTCTACTCAAAACACAAAAATTAGCAAGGTGTGGTGGCGCACGCCTGCAATCCCAGCTACTTGGGAGGCTGAGGCACAAGAATTGCTTAAACCCAGGAGGTAGAGGTTGGCAATGAGCTAAGATTGCATCACTGCACTCTAGCCTGGGTGACAGAGTGAGATGTAGTCTCAAAAAAAAAAACAAATGCTGATGATATTGTTTGACTGTGTCCCACCCAAGTCTCATCTTGAACTTTAGCTCCCATAATTCCCATGTGTTGTGGGAGGGACTGGTGGGAGATAACTGAATTATGGGGGCTGTTTTGCCCATACTGTTCTTGAGATCTGATGATTTTATAAGGGGTTTCCCTTTTTGAGTGGCTCTCATTCTCTCCTGTCTGCCACTATGTAAGGTGTGCCTTTCACCTTCTGCCATCATTGTGAGTCCTCCCCAGCCACGTGGAGCTGTGAGTCCATTAAATCTCCTTTTCTTTATAAATTACCCAGTCTCAGTTACGTCTTTATCAGCAGCATGAAAATGGACTAATACAGCTGGTGAGGACACAGAGAAAAGGGAGTTCTCTTACACACTATTGGTGGAATGTAAAGTTGTACAACCACTATGGAGAACAGTATGGAGGTACCTCAAAAAACTACAAATAGGAGACTGGACGTGGTGGCTTACATCTGTAATCCTGGTGCTTTTGGAGGCTAAGTCAGGAGTATCAGTTGAGACCAGGAGATCAAGACGAGCCTGGGCAACAAAGCAAGACACCATCTCTTTTTAAAATTAGCTCAATATGATAGTACACACCTGTAGTCCCAGCTACTCAGGAGGCTGAGGCAGGAGGATTTCTTGAGCCCAAGAGTGTGAGGCTGCAGTGAGCTATGATCAAATCACTGCACTCCTATCTGGACAACAGAGCAAGACCCTGTCTCTTGAAAAAAAAAAAAAAAAAAAAAAAAAAAAGCAAAACAAAACAAAAAACCTGCAAATAGAACTACCAGATGTTCCTCAAATTTAAAAATAAAATTCCAAAAAAAAGAAAAAACAAACAAAAAATTCATGAGACTACCATGAAATAAAAATAAAAATAAAAAAGAAAATTCCTGGCCAGGTACAGTGGCTCACTCCTGTAATCCCAGCACTTTGGGAGGCCAAGACGGGCAGATCACAAGGTCAGGAGTTTGAGACCAGCCTGGCCAACATGAGGAAACCCATCTGTACTAAAAATACAAAAATTAGCCAGGCATTGTGGCAGGTGCCTGGAGTCCCAGCTACTCGGGAAGCTGA